GGCAGCATTACTCAAGAGATTTGTAAGGTGCTTGAAAACTTGGAATATATAGACATTTTCTGTAAAGCAGAATGGGCTGTATAACTTTCAGAGAAGGCTTTTAAGAGCTCAGAGTCAGTAGTTTATTTTCCATATGCAGCTTGTGAGAAGGGAGAAGTAAAAGGTCTGTTCCCTTCTATAACATAAACCTCCTAGAGACTAGAGTCAGGCCCTTTACCTTGTTAAAACACGTGCTCCTCCTCTGCCCCAAACCATGGTGGGCTCTTGTGCCTGCTACCCAACCTGTCACAGTGAAGGCACGATAGGAAAGGTTTCCACTGCCCTAATTAAATAAGCCTAGTGTCCCGTGAGTTACAAGTTATTCCAGCATTGAAAAAGTAGCTACAAATAAATAGCATAAGATCCTCATACATGAGGCTTTGATGACAGCAGGAGACAACTTACTAACCCTCAGAGCAGGAAAGAGGAATCAAGTAACTTTTTTTTTTTTTTTTTTTTTTTGCATTTTACTCCAAGACTCAAGCAGTTTTGGACAAAAACAAGGACTAGTTCTTAACGTCCACAGAAGGCATCAAAGTGAAGTTCTCACAAAGTTCAACAAGGCCTTGTGCAAGGTCCTGCATCTGGGTCAGGGCAATCCCCAATATCAATACAGAGTGGAGGATGAATGGATTAAGAGTAACCCTGTGGAGAAGAACTTGGGGATACTGATGGATGAAAAATTAGATAAGAGTTATGAATGTGCTCTTGCAGCCCAGAAAACCAATGATATCCTGGGCTGTGTAAAAAGAAGCATGGTCAGCAGGTCAAGGGCAGTGATTATCCTCCTCCACTCTGCTCTGCTGAGACCCTACCTGGAGTACTGTGTCCAGCTCTAGAATCCTTGGTACAAGAAAGACATGGACCTGTTGGAGTGAGTCCAAAGGAGGGCCACAAAGATGATCAAAGGGATGGAACACCTCTGCTGTGAGGACAGGCTGAGAGAGTTGGGGTTGTTCAGCCTGGAAAAGCAAAGGCTCTGGGGTGACCTTTTTGTGGCCTGTCAGTGTATAAAGGGGCCTTATAAAAAAGAGAGAGAATTTTTACCAAGGCCTGTAGTGACAGGACAAGGGGCAGTGGTTTTAAAGTGAAAGAAATAGGGTAGATTTAGATTGGACATAAGGAAGAAATTCTTTTTCAGTGAAAGTTGTGAGACATTGGAACAGGTCGCCCAGAGAAGTTGAGGCTGCCCCATCATTGGAAGTGTTCAAGGTCAGGCTAGACAGGGCTTTGAGCAACCTGATCTAGTGAAAGGTGTCCCTGGCCATGACAGGGGAGTTGGACTAGATGATCTTTGAAGGTCCCTTCCAACCCAAAATATTGTATGATTCTAAACAGATGAAGGTGGTCTTTTCCCACAGTGGGCTCTGATTTCATAAGTCTTTAGCAACAATGCTGTCTGAAAATGTCCTTGCTATTTACTTCTTTCTCTGTTTTTTCTGTCAAAGCTGTTTGTGCAGCCAGAGCAGGAGAATGACCCAGCACAGAAACAGTGTCATGGGGTGATGTGTTTGGTTTTTAGCCAGCTCAGTTCCTCGATTAATTCACAGAACAGCCAAGCTGAGAGTTTGCCAGTGCAGTGCAGGTCAGTATGTGCTGCAGCCTAAAAGCAGGAATAAATGGATTTAGGGCCTAGGGAAGAAGGTATCTAGGAGGCAAGAATACCCCTAAGCTGGTGCCTGCCATCAAAGACTGTCCTGTGAAAACACAGGTGGAGTTGTGGTGACGCAGGAGAAACAAAGCCAGCAAGGTCTGAGATGTTCATTCCAGTTTCCCATGTAATTCTTGCATTCCTGCTCTTGCCCAGCATCCCTACAGAAAAATCCCTAAAGGGCAGGACTCGCACAGCTCTGTTAACACATCTGATGTGTGAAGCCATCCAGTCTTCACATCTCTTGGCTTTTTCTTATTGCTTCCTGAAAAGGAATGCTAGGTATGTTCTTGCTTTATTGGTACTGCTTGGTGGTTCCACCTTTAATGAATACTGGAGGGGTGCAGCCAAGTAGCAGATTGCACTGACTGGATGTTTCACTAGCTTTGTTTTCAGAAGATGACTTTAACTGGTTAACCTCCATTTGGTCTTATTACTTCCAGTGCTGAACAGGATATTGCCTGGTGATATTTTATTACACTTGGTGATGCTATACAAATTCTAAGCTGAGCTTTTCTCTTCCATAGGATAAAAAATTTGTGGTTGGAAACAGCCAGTTTGAATTCGAAGCTCCTGTTGATGAATCAGATGAAGGAAAATTTTCATTCATGAGTAAAGAGGTAAATGCAAAAATGTGATTTGCCTACCAAGCATATTGTGTTCTTATAGACCTGTTCCAGTGTCCACATGTGTCCAGAAATATACAGGTAATATTGGTTTCCCTCAAAGAAGGTCATCTCTGATGGAGATTCTCCATTGTCAGTAGCAGTGAAAGGTAGCAGCTTTGGCTCAGAGCTCCTGGGGCCTCCCTTCAAGGCCCTCCATCTTTCTCCTTGATTTCTCTGTCTATGCAATCTGTGGATTCATTGAACTGTCCCTGGAGGAATTCGGTACCATTATTCTTTTATTCCTCACTTTTAATGCAATCTGATGAAATATTGAGGATAAAAGATGAGAATTTCAGAGCTCTGCCTCTCTACACTCCAATTCATTTATCTTTCCCTTTTTACATCTGTAAAAATGGGAATGGTAACAGTATGTTGCTGTTTGGCTACTTACTAGCTATGCTTCTTTCACTCTGGTTTATTTTACAGAGAAAAGAAATAATTTTTTTTTTTAATAGTCTATTTACCAAGCTCAAAGTTGGACTCACAAATGTTATGCTGACTTTAACTTTTATGTCTCATAAGCTTACTAACAGAGTAGTTTTGAGAACTAATTGACATTTATACAGCATTTGAACCTAGCACAAAGCATTTGCTTCATAAAGCCATTGTATTTTTCTTTGCTCTTTTCTTTCCCACTGGTTGTTATTACTGCTGTCTTTCAACCTGAGCAGAAGCTCATATCTTGGAGCACGTGAACCTTGTGCTTTGGCTGTAACGAGGGGGTTGCACTGCAAAAGATGCAAGAGATTTCCTCTCCATGTGGTGTGAGTCTGCTGTGTCCACAGAAGTAATGGAGCCAGATGGTGTGGGAAGGGAGAACTCAGCAGGGTCAGCAGCTATGCTTACTAAATCTGAACAGTACCTTTGCTACTAATAACCAAATGTAAATTAAATTAATGAAAAGAGGGTATTAAGATATTGCTGTCCCTTGGTACTTGAAAATTATGGTTGTGTTCATTAAAACATTTTTCTATAAATGTATTTGGCCAAGATTTAAAAAAGACCATAAGGTTTGGGATACTTTCTAAGACCTTCGCAGCTCAGATTATTGAGAATCATAGAAAACACACAAAATTAACCTTGCCAAATGAAGGTATAAATATCTCTGCTGTGTCACCTTTTCCAGTTCTCCTATAGTGCAAATGAGACCCTACGACTTAACTTATCCATAAGAACAGATAAGGTCAAGATTGACAGCAAACTGATGGGTAAGTATGAAGTACGGGATTAAAAGGAGGTTAATTACAGTAAACAGAAATCTGTTTACTTCGTAATTTGGAGTCATGAATAAGAATGTTACCTTTGTGGGTTTTACTGCTTTGGCTGAAACAATTAAATCTGACAGATAAAAAGTTATTAATACTAAACTCATGAATTAAACATCATCATTGTATATAGTAAAGGCTGTTTTAAGTATTCTACCATTATTTTCAAGTTTGCTTTTGCTCTCAAGGGCAATCCTAATAGTGAAGCTTCACAGTTCAAACATACTTAACTAGTCTGATTTTTACAGGGGTTTTTTGATGGCCATTTCCTTTCCCCAATGAACTTTCCCCTTCCGGTAGCAGAAAGGGGATCCTTCTCACTGCCGCTCATAGGGACTTCACTTGAAATCTCAGCTTTCAGCTGTGTCTCATCTCAGACGGGTTCTGCAGTCTTTATGTCTGCTGGCAGTTGGCAATACACTGAAACACTCAGTGTGCTTTCAGCTATATTATTAATTTATTTCTATGGCAACAAACAGTATATTGAGTGTTTTATAGCACAAAGACTTGGTCTCTGATATAAATTCTTTTATAAATATAAATCTCTTTATTTCTTTCAACGTACAACAATGAAGCAATTAGGTCTGTGAGCCTAGTCCTGAGCTGAGGGGAGGAAGCTCCAATCCGTGGAGCAGTGTCTGGGAGCTGGGACATACCTTACACTCCTTTGAACTGAAGTTTAAGGCATAATCTTGCAGAAACTGCGAGGCAACACACTTGTTACTTGTGTGATGAGCCAATGTCAGCAAAACTAATATTGCCCCCAAGTAATTTCCCCTGCAGATTAAATCTTCAGACCATATTTTTTCATCTGTACAATATTTACATTTATTCCTTTTTTTTATTGGCAGCATAGAAGTATGTTTATAGAAGATTTTTCCCTATGGCTCTGTGTGCAGTGTTGAAAGCACTTAAAAGAGGACCTGGCATGAATGTTATAGGAAGGTCATATTACAATCTCACACTGTCTTAATTTCTATTCCAAAGGCTGTGGTGTTTAAAACTGCAGATTTCTGACCAAATATTCACAACATCTTTTTTCCTAGTCTAGGAGAAACATAGGAAAAAAGAAGTAGCTAAATTATTAAAGAAATGTTGTAATTCAGATTGAAATATAGAGCCCTTGCAAGAGGGAAATTGAAAAATTATCGAAAAATGTCTCTTTTTATTATGAAAGGGATTTTTTTAATCCATATTCTCTCCTGCTTTTAAATTTCCTTGCTATGCGAAATCTGGAGCATAATGGTTTTTATGCATCCTGAAAAGAATTGGCTTTGGGTATATGGTTGCTGTAGAGAAGCACCTTTGAACCTGCCAGTGAAAGAAGCCTTTCCTTGTATAACACTTAATGAATACTAAGTTACGGTAGTGTTTTTACATCTCAAGCCATCAGGGGTTCTGAACAGTATGAAATCCAATATATCCCTTTTATCTTTTGTCCTTTTTATCAATGATTTCACAGCTGGTATCTCAAGGTGATGGATAAGAGTCTGAATCTAATGAGTGGCTTGCTGCTGGTACATTTAATGAGCTGATCAGTGAACAGGGGGAGTGTTTAGTGCTTTAAGGCTGTAGCTTTCTCCGTTGCATTTATGCAACTGGATGTGAGGGACCTCGAGACGCTGCAGTGCTGAAATTGTTTACTGAGGGATGGGATGCAAATCCCTGTCCAGCCGATGAAGGATAACAAAGTAATTCAGTAAGCATATTCCTGTGCTGTACTGGGTGGCCATGTGGTGGTGTGGGGGGGTAACACAGGGTTTAGAAGGCAAGGGGAAGATTTGCTTAACAGTATTACCTGCTCAAGTCCCTGTGCACTAGCAACCTTTCAGAGTGCTGTATTAAGAAAGCAATCTGGTTCCTGCAAAAGTAATTCACAGCATAGACGTGAGGAAACTTTTCCTTGCTGCTGCCCACACTGTCTCTTCTGCTTATAAAAGCAAACAACAATGTACCAGGGCTGTCAGTCTGGTGCTTTTCCCCAGCACTGCATTCACATCCAGCATACAGAGTGAATAGTTCACGCACAAACTGTTGAAGATATTGCTTGTGTTATGTTTGTTGCTCAGTGACTTCCATATTGATGTGCTCAGTATATGAAGCAAATTATGCTACTCCTGCTTTGTGTTCATCGATTCCCTGAGAATTCAAGATAGGGGTTGAATCAAATGGATGCTCTTTCTCATTGATTCATTGTTAGAAATGCCAAAGTCCCTTGGCTTTGCACACACCTCCAATGATGTCTCAGCTGAGTTTGTGCTAGTAAGGCTACTTGAAATCAAGTGGATATGCTGATTAGATGTAAGAAGGGTTAAAACCAGGCTTCATCACATTAACTCTTCAGTTTAAGGGAAAGAAAGAAAGAAAAAAAATGTGTTTTCTATTAAAGACTAGCTGTGAAAATGGATGTTGAGGTTTTAAAATATGCAGCATTTAGAGAAAAACTACCCTTCTGAGGTTATATGCTCTCAAGCAAGTGGCAGAGATACTGTAGCCAAGTTTTGGGCATCTGTAATACTGTTCATGCCTAGCAGGGGAATAAGAGCACTGCTGAAGAATAATGGAAAACCAGCATTCTCATTTTATTTTTTCATTTCAGTAGAAATCTGCAATGGCAGCCTCTTGGAATTAGATTTAAAATGCTACTGCTGCTGCTATTATCTAGGAAGATATCAAGTGCATTGAAATGTTAGTGACTGAAGGGTAGTTTTGCTGGTGTTCTTCCTAGAGTCCTGCTCTTCTGAGAATAAAAGCTTTCTTTAAATAGACATTTTTAATGGCCTTTACCATATGCAATCTCAAAGGGATTTATCCTAGTTTCTCTTGCCCACACCTGATCACCTCTGTTTACTTCAGTTTGCTTCCTGCATCTTTAAGGATGATACTCCTTTGGAAAAAACCTAGTGTCACTAAGGGTACAATTTCTTGAGACTTAATGAGCCCATAAAAGAACTCATCAGTACTGGAAAGGGGAGATGTTGAGTCTTTGTCTTGTACTCCCCACTCCCATCTGTGAGCACATTTAACTCTTGAAAGAGCACAGGAGGAAACCTGGATAGCTTTCTGCTCTTCTGGAAAGTGAAGTTGATTTACAAGACGACTCAACAAGTGCCAAAGCCTCAGTGGCAGAGAGTGAGGTTGTGTGGCCAGAAAAAAAGAGGAGCCAAAGAGTAGAGCAAAGCAGGGATGAAGGGAAGGAGCAGAAAAGGAGGGAGCAAGAAGTTTCCCTCTCTACAATAATCAGCTCACCTTCCCAGGCAAGCATAGCACTCACACTGAGTAATCTGTGCAATTTGCATGCTTCCCCTAGAGAAATGTGTGGCATCTTTTCAGTCTGTTTTCTGCTGGACCAGCTCTCAAGTGCATCTCTAAACGTTTTCTTTCAAGCCCAGGTTTTCACTGTGGTGCTGAACCACCCAGCTATGTCTCAAGGCTTTGCATCTATTTATGGATATTAATTTTTTTCAGCAACTGTGCATCATGCTAGAGATTGAGGGGGGCAAAACAAGCTTAGCATCTGGGACAACTGGTGCATGGTGCATCAGTAAGAGAGGCATGTTTGTCAGACCAGATTTCTTGGCTCAGAAAAACTAGAATTAAACCCCACTACAGAAGGAATAGAGTGTACATCAGAACAGCTACTCAAGACAAAAAGGAAAACAAAAGCAAGAAAATAGAGAAAAAGGAAAAAATGAAGAGGTATTAACTTGAACAAAGGATAACACTTCATTAAGTGTTAACTTTCTGTTTGGTTCAAGCATTAGCAATGATTTTGAAAAGGCCCACATGTTCTAGAAACGGCCACAAAGGCAGCTCTCTTCCTTTAAATACACGACTGGCAGAGGTCCCATGCCAGCTGACGTCTGTCCCTACCAACACCCATGCAGAGTTTATACCCTTCCACGTCTTACACCAGGAGGGACCTGTTTGTTTGAACTAGACTTTGAACAGTTATATAGGCAGGTTCGCTGAGGATAATCAAAGAAAGGACTTCGTTCTTAAATGTTTTGACTCAGGAGTGACAAAAATGTTATTGGGTTTTACTTGATAGTTTATTCATACTTTGCACATGGATAGATTTGAGGTTTTTATTTACAGGGTATTTTCAGCATCGGTCAGGGGTTAAGTACAGACTGTGCATATTCTTCATGCAACTCAACTGAGCAACAGGCAGGCTTTGTACATGGGATTAGTTTTCCTTCCTATCATTGCAAAAGAGGGAAATGTCTAAGTGCATTTGTCATTCGTATTTCAGTGACTCTGTACAACTGCTCTTATGGACGAAGTGACTGCAGCTTATGCCTCGCAGCCCATCATGACTATAAATGTGTCTGGTGTGAAGAAGAGGGCAAGCCCAGCAAGTGCGTTTATGAAAAACTCTGTCACGCTCCTCCCACCGACACGTGTCCTCATCCAGAAATCACTCGCGTAAGATTGGTTTTTTTCTCCCTACCAGTGTATTATTTTTCAGGAGAAAGCATCCAAACAAGCTCATACTGAAAGGCAGGGTTTTTTCCTAGGGTGTTAAGTAAGCTTCTGAAATAGCTGCAAGGAAATAATGCCAGTAGTGATGTGTGAGAGAGATTTGTAAAGACTCAAAATAAGAGACTGAATGGAGTCTTTGAGACTCCTTGTTTTTCAAGCCTTGTCCTCACTGTGCTAGAAGCCAGGCTGACAGTGTATGCTTAAATGTGGCACTTGATTCTTGGGAATTAGCATGGATTTTTTCTCTCCTGAAGTCCTTTCTACCTGAAATAAGTCTATAAGAAAGGTTCAATGCGCTTGGAAGTGCAAGCACTTAGCAGGCTCATTAACAGACTTCAAACTAGACTTCTAAATAGTATTTAACAAGGGAGCAGGTTATTTCTGCATCACAGTTTGTTTTCCAGGTATCAGTGATATTTTACAGTCCACACCAGGATGAAACCCAAGGCTGTAGAAGTCAAATGTAAGAAAACAGAGAGGCCAAATGTACACCCCTGACTTACTCAGCAGTAGTCCTGCAGTCGGAGCGTTCACCCAGGGCAAGGGAAGAGCATTTTCTACCTTGGTAGACCAGTAACCAAAGCAAGAAGTGGTAAATCCTTATACTTTTCAGCAATAAACCAAATGCGGTTTTTCTGGGCATAATTGTCAATAAAACAGTGATATGTACTTCCACTGGGCAAATCTAAATTGCTGCGACAGTGGTATCTGTACTTTGAAACTCGGACAGAGCATTTGGTCTGAACTTATCCCAAACTATCAGAAAATGCAGTAACTCTATGACAGAGGTTGAGAGTCATAACAGGGATGTTTTGCTCAAATAAGATAGAATTGTTTTATTCTGAAACCTGTAGCTCAAACTGGTAGAGACACTGAACGAATCTCCTGAGGCTGCACACTTAGAGGTGCAGTGTGGGTACAGACAGGCCAGCAGCACAGTGCTTCACCCTGTGAAGTCCACTGCAACCGCAGGATTTTCTGAGTCATCATTCTAATTGTGGATTATTTAATTAGCATCAGCCCATGTACTATATCATCCTACCATTTGATGCAGTAAGGAAGACCAAGGGGCTAGGGGAACTTTTGAAGACACTGTGGGGCAACAGTGTGTGTTAGGAAGGTGCACTCTTCTGCCATGAACCTAAACAGTACATGAACCTCAAGGGTTCACTTTTTGTCATGGCAAAAAAAGGCTGGAAGAGCCTGTCGAATGCTTGTGAGAGGAGCCCAATCTATTTGCTTTTCAAAATCACAGTGCTTGAGTGGAGGAAGCAAACTTAAAAGACAGTAAACACCAGGCAAGAGTTTTGCACATAACCGTCTGCCACAGGAGACATGAAATCAGCAGCTGATAAATAGTGGATCTGAGCTAACAAGTAATTAATGAACATTTAAATGTTGCATAGCATGCTTTTTGGGGGGGTCCTACAAGAAGCGTCTTTTTCATTTCAAGTATGGGTAAGTCAAAGTAGCTTTAAATAACAAGGAAGAGCAACATGGTCACTGCAGTATTTAATTTTGTCTTTTTTAATTTTATTTTTACTTCCCCTCATGCAAACACAGATTGAGCCAAAAACTGGACCACTAAGTGGTGGAATTCTTCTGACCATAATGGGATCTAATTTGGGAATAAAAGCAGAAGATGTAAAAAATATAACGGTGGCAGACAAGGAATGTCTTTTCAAAGAGGAATTCTACTCTGTCTCCACAAGGTAATTACTGGATATTTTTCACAAGATTTAGAAGAAAAAAGGAACTTCCTTGCATTTTCAGGAGTAGATGATCTTCCTGTAATTATGAAAGGTTATCAATAGAAGAAAGAACTAGTGCAATATACCTGAGATATTTCATAGTAACATATCTGAATCTTTATTTAAGGTTGTTTTAGAGTCTAATACAGAAACAAATTTATGATAGCATACTACCCTCCTGCTTCTGACTGATTGAATTTTTTCCTTATTTATTTTAAAAGCTTTCAGAAACTATTACTGCAGATAACTCAAGACTATTTATTTGTTTTTAAATTAAAGACACTGTAGGTGTGCATTTAGTCGTTAAAATCTTTGCTAAATCTGAACCACAGTGCAACCAAGCATACAAGATTTATGGGAAAGTAGGCAAAACAAGAGAAAGCTTAAATCTTTTTGTTTTAGTCCAGCCACAAAGTTTCTTTCCTAGGGGCAGGGGCGCAGCCCAGAGTTTTTGTTTGGCTTTAGATGACTAAGATTTGTCACACAGACAACAAGTCCATGGATGTTGGATTGCCTAAGCAGGTTGGTAAATGTTTTGTGGATTACTTGTCACACTCTTAAGCAGTGCCAAAAATGAAAACAAGGTGCCTAAATTCTTCTAGTTATCTAGGTGTTTACTGCAGATTATATTAAGCATCTAATTTCAAGAGGGAAATACCCTTTTGATATTAGCTGATAAAAAGCATAGCATGAAGGTTCAGTAGTAATATTAAGAATAATAACTTATTTTATGCAGTGTGATTTTTCTTTCATTCACTTTTGATATTTCAAGCTACAATTGAAACCTTGGCTTTCTTTCCCTTCAGTTAAAGTGTAATACAAGAACTTTTTGCTATTTCTGTGGTGTGTTTTGAAGGGGATTTTGAAGATACCTAAGTGATTTTTTTTTTTAGCTTTCGAAAAATGTTTAGCTTCAGTTAGTTTGTGAATCAGGCATTTAGAAGCCTCCCAAGCCCCTTGGACTTAAGAATGTATATATAGCTGTGTATTTCTTACTGCTACCCAAATCCGTCACCATAATTCATGTGTTTACGTGTGCATCAACATCCACAAAATTCTCAACTCTTCTACAGTCATCTTTTCCCATTTCCTCTTTCCAGTGTTTGCAAAGGCTGCACTGAATTGCAGCGTAGCCTTACAAGAGTTTCCTCAGCCACTTGGCTTTTTCTAAAGCATTTTGATATTTTTAAATACATGGAAAAGAGCCAGAACTCAGATAACTGGTTCCTTGTATCATAGCAACATTACTGGTTTCCTAAGCTCTGCCAGTGTGGTAATGGGTGAGAGCAAATGCAACTTGCATAATGTAATTTATCAACGAATTAGGGGCTTTTGAATGACGTTCTCCATTAGGGAAGCCTTGAAAAAGAAGTTATTCAAAATCTCCAAATAGCTATCTAATTTTCTTTCTTTATCTTCCTCATTTTTTTTGTTTTATTATTACCTTCTCTTATTTATTTTAATCTTTTTTTTTTTTCTAAGTGTCTAGTCTTGCTGCCCTATCCTCCTACAGTAAAAAGCTAGTCATTTTTAGGAGACAGTTGCTCCCATGGGCAGAAGAGTGGCAAGATTTAAGGCACTTAAGGCTGTTTTCTGCCTCTGCAGTGATTTAATTGCTGGCCTTGGAAAAGTCATGTTCTCATTCTTTGTAGTTTTCCATTTGTAAGATGGGGGAAGGGAGGCAATGCCAACACTAGGGAGGGAACTTTTCTCAATTAAAATCCGTGCTAACCACACTACGACGCTTCCCCCACACACACCCCCCCGGCCTCGGCCCCTGACTGCTTTCCCCGGCTTGACATATGGTAGAAATTCCTCCAAAGGCACCGTTTCCTGTTTCTGCCCGACAAGAAGATACAACTTCCAAGAATACAGTAGAGATGATGAAGAACAGACTCAAGCAGCTGTACACATGCCAGGACATGCAAGAATTTAGAGAATTTTGTCCATTTGCCCAGTAGCCAGGCAGAAAATCTGGAGTGATCTGCAGAGGGACTTGACAATACTTTTATTATAAGTCCTGATTTAAGTACATTATACCTGGTAATTTTGGATTGTTGGGATTTTTTTTTCTGTTTGAGGTTTTGTTGGGGTTTTTTTTAAGCAGTCATGCACTGTTTAAGGAAAAATATCAGTAATCCTGGAGGGCAAGAGCGAAGGAAATGAGCGGTGATCCTTAGGGTGTCCCCTGTGTGAAACTGTTTGCCTGTACAGGCTGCAAACATTGTATACTTCCTTTTCTAACTGTGTTATCAGCTATCTATTAATAATTTGTCACAGTTTTCAAGTGTGTCGAATCCTTATTGCATTTTCATGCTTATATTCTGTGGATAGCCTGTTTGAAATAAAAATTTAAACATCCATGCTACCACTCAGCAGCAGTGTTAGTTAAGGCAGTGTTTTCTCGGCCAGTGTTCCTTGACCTCTGATTTTGCATGGGTTGTCTGAGGATTTATTTTCAGAGAACAGTAATTCTAAAGGGATTTTGATCGTAGGTGTGAAAATACAGTAGTTTAAAGGTGAATGATAGCAGGATGCACAAAAAAAGTATCAGCAGATAAAACACACAAAGTTATAAGGTAGCTGATGGTCTGATTCTTAGATCGAGGCAGGAGGAGGGGGGTGTCCTTCGTTTTTTTAACATCACCAGATCCAGTGAAAACCTTATGTAGGGCTGAAGAGGTTCATCTCTGACTTGTGGGCTGAATTGGAGTCTTCTGTGGAAGGCATCTCTGCTAACTGACTGCTAAGTAGTTGTTGTGTACGGTGCTCAGATTTCAGTTTTATACCTACCTATAGATAGAAGATTAAACTATTCTTGGGTGGTTTTGCTGGGAATCTGAGGTGGCGTTCAAGTATCTTGTGTAGGTTAAAGCAAAGTTAGTGCTTTTGCTGACTGTGTGTGTGGTAGTTCACATACATTGCTTTGGTATTGCAGCTGTTACTTCTAACAGATAAACTTACATTCTTTCTTGTTAGGATTGTATGTCAGGTTGGACCAATGAATGAAGCAAAACAAGGTCAAATTGAAGTTAACATCAATGGAAAATTAGGTAAATCACCAAGCGAAGTGCTATTTACATACCAGGTAAGTGTATTTTTTTCAGATATGTTTTATACCGGGTTCATTACTTAAGTTAGAAGTTTACCTGTTAAGCACAGTCACTTGTGTTTGCCTTACAAACTTTGTTTCATCAATAGCACTGTA